GACTTGAACCCGATCCTTTATTAGCGAACTAACAGAGTCGACAGGGTTCAATAAATAAAATGCAATTCCTTATAAACATACAGATGATGACCATGTTGACAGAAAAATCTCAACAGGTGGGGTTCACAAACACTTTCAAATGCCTCCCAAATTCCCAAATGCCTATGAAAATCCAAAACTCCAAAAAATATTATCCAAATCCAAATATTTAAAATTTAAATTCAACCATCAAAACACTTAAGGCAAACCCCATCCACCCTCCATAACAGTTTGTCGAGATGGACAAATTCAAATAATACTTTAGCTTACAAAGAGCTAATTTCTGGTCGAGAATATCACTAGGATTTTTCTCAAACAATCTATTGCCAGCAAGTACAAGTCACGTGTCCTCTAACTGGCGATTTTACTGCTAAATGACACCACAGGAAAACAATTATGACCTATAAGAAACCAGAACTTAGATCATAAAGTCCTCGTAAAATGAGGGTCACTGGTACTTAGTTAATGCATAACAAATTTACCCGCTTGCCAAGAACAGCGGTCATGGGTGCTTATTTTTATGTAAACAAATATTTCCGCCCGCCAAGAATGGTAGTCACATGTGCTTATTTCATTTATAGCAAATTTCCTTGCCTGCCAAGAAAGACTATCACGGGTATGTATTTCATGCATATGTATCATCAGTGCTTATTCAATAAAATTTTTATATACTAATTGACTTGAAATTGGCTTAACTGAGCTAGGTTGTTTCTATTACCCAATGGCATTGTATTGCTCTTGGTTAATATGCTTGCAAAGATTTAAGAGTATGCTTTGATTCGTTTCATTGGTTTTCATTTAATAGATTTAAAGAGGAAAACATGTTGAATGCTGTGTTATTCTTTGTATCTATTCTCATTACCCTTCAACAATTGTTCTCTAGTCCATTCTATCCAATTAGTTAGTAGAACAAACTGTTCAATGTCCAACTTCTTAATCTTTTCCAATTTCCTTAGGTTAGTTGGCATCATTAGGTTTGATGCAGGACTTCTATACACCTAAATATCACTTAGACCCAATTCAATCAAAGTTGACCCCTGATTTAATAGATCGCATTGGAGACTATCCAATTGATTGAAAGAACCAATCTATTGAAGTCACCAAAAATATAATGAATTCACTTCTTTATATTAAGACAAAGTAAGTGAACTCGGCCTAAGGGCTGACTATATTAAATCATCGAAGAACATGGTCTTGGGATGACATGGCCTAGTTGTCCAAATATCTGTATAATTATTCCAAAGTCAACCTGACTCAATTTGCCATGTTAATACACTCAAGTGTAGAACGTGTCTACCCTTGGCGAATTAAAGAGAAGTTGGTAAGCAATATCTTATAAGTGAATATTTATAGAGTTAGCCTCTACTAGGTTTTTAATTGTTCTTTATGTGCTTTTTGGTTACGTGCCTCATGTATTTTCTACACCATGCAATTTTTAAACTTTATTATGTACTTTTTTACTTGTAAATCTTAAATCTAACCTTTCCTGTAGTGTTATACCTTGACCCAAGCTTATAAATTGTATTTCAGAGTGAGATCATGGGATGATTATGAACATGACTACAGTTTTGTTAAGGTTTTCAAAATGATTTTTTACAATATGTAAGGTTCAATGGCTAGGATATATAAATATTTGAAGGTTTTACAACATTTGGAAATCAATTTAGTTTTGGCGGTTAGAGAGTTTGGATTGCTCTCAAATTTAGAGGGTTGACTCTAGGGACATGCTTAATCAATATGCAAGTGATTAATCATGAATTCAAGGTCATTTGACATGATTTTGATATGATTGAAGTTTCATCAGATGTAGGTTATGGACTTAAAGTTTTTGGCTTTGATTTTAGTTTGAGATTTTTGGATTTGGTTTTGGTCTTTTGAATTGGATTGATTGAATCTGATTACTCTTATAATTGACAATCATTTAGGTGATTTTTAATGATCGAGTGATGGGTCAAATGACAATCATAAAGTAATTGTGAAATGAAGGGTTTAGATTTGTTTTTGTTTTTGTTTTTTATAATTTGATTTGAAGTGGAGTTGGAATATAGTTTGAAATGATTACGGATAGCTTAGTTAACCTCATTCAGAAATGAGATCAACAATGTTAAACTTAATGCTATATGATACTTTTATGCCATTCTTATATTTTATGTTATTTTTTTCTTATAATATTTTGATTTCAATTCTATTTCACGTAATTTATTACTTGTCATTTTATAAATTTTATAATTTTTTTATTTCATATGTATGCTAATTTGTTATTTAATAGTTCAAATGAAAGTTAATATATTATCCTTAACATATTATTTAAGAATTATATAAAAAATAACTTTTAACCGTTATTTTCGTTTTAAGCAATTTTTTAGATTTGAGGTTTACACCTCAAAACATCTTGACGCTTATGCTTACGCTTTGCTTCACGAATGAAAAATATTTCAATACCCAATTGCATAATTTTAAACATTGGTTTACAAATCATATATTAAATAATTTTAAATTAATTTTTTATAATGTGAATAGTATTTATTTTTATATAATAATAGTTAATTTCTTATCTATTTAATTGATTATATACTATAAAATTATTTTTTATCTAATTATTAAAATTAGATAATCTAAAATTTATGATATATAGATCCAATTTATAATGTGATTTTTGTATATAATCAATATGAGTAAATTATATCAACACATAATATAGAATAACAACAATATCAGGTCTTTATCACATTACGTGGGGTTGACTATATGAATCCTTTTTCTTCAGTGTTCTATTAAGAGTCAAATTCTTATTTAAATCTAATAAAAATGATCTTTTTTAATACTTTTTGACGAAGCCTATTTATGTCTTTCTTCACCTTTCTTAAGAAATATTGCATCTAATGCATCTACTCTCCTAATCAGGTCACTAGAAGAAATACATTTTGTGACAAAACTATCTAAAGTGACTCTCTCTATTCTTATTTATCATTGGAGCTACTCCAACTTTTTCATTTGTATAGTTGTCTTGCATTTTTTCTCAAGTATAAAACCACTCATCCACTTGAGCATATCCTCATCTTTGCAACAATTAAGTCAATTTTATGCTTCTCTTTTAATGATCAACATTCTGCGCTATAAAGCATTGCAGGTCTCATCACCATCTTATAAAAATTTTCCTTAAGTTGAGGGGTACTTTTTTGTCACACAATAGACCCGATGCATTCCTCCATTTCAACCATTCAACTTAATTTCTACTAATAATATTCCAATCTATTTCACCATCACTTTGAATAATAGACCCAAGATATCTAAAATGTGTTCTCTTTTTAATGACTTGATCACCCAAAGTCACAATTTTCCTACTAGATTTATTACTACTCAAATGATATTCCATGGATTCGATTTTAGATCTACTCGAACAAAAAACCTTTAGACTCGATTGACCTTCATAACTTAACTTTCTCCTATAACTCCCTCTAGTCTTATCATCAAAAAATATTCATCAGGGTTCATGCTCTAGCAAATGTATGGTAGGAACATTTATGACTAAAGAAAAAATAATGGGGCTTAAAGCTTATCTTTGATGTAATCCAATTGAAATAGAAAAATACTTGGTTAAACCACCTTGTTTGTAAACTTAAGTAATAAAATGATTTTGAAATACTATTGTTGTGATGACATTGGACGTTAATATTTAGAAGATATCAAGGGTTGTTGTGAAACTATAAGTCTTAACTTGCTAAAAAAAAAGTCCTAACTTGCTAGAGAGAAATGAAAATGAGAATGTTCAAAAAATGGGGTATTGAGTGTGAGTGATTGATTTGGGGCTTTGGAGAGGAAATAAAATATTTAGTTTTAGTATTTTTGCTTAATAAAAATTTGGGATACAATAAATTATATTAAAAAAATCATAAAATATTTTAGTCGTGCGTGTCTAATTTATTTTAAATAAGACATCTTTAGCGGGTTCGACATGCTCTGACACATGTCGGAGGCGTGTCTAACCCATGTCGTGTTTGATATGTGTGGGACACTGCAATTATCTTTGAGGAGGTGTTGGTGCATCATAGGTAACAACTTCTGTATTCATATCCTTAATAATCTGAATATAAACATTATTAAATCCTTTCTTTTTTTTGAACTGTCCAAAGCACTTCTCTTGAAACTTTGGCTTCTTTTGGGACATATTTCTTGCTACTTTCTAAAATAGTTTTTTGTTAAAAATATTTTTGATTTTGAAAAATTTATACTAAAAAGCTATTTTAGAAAGCAATAAAAAATTAATTCCAAAAGAAGCCTTTATCATATGCTTTCTCTAATTCTACACATATAAGATAAATTAATAATAATTTATATTAAATTTATAAGTTCACATGTGAATTGAATTTATAGGAAATATGAATTAAATTTAAAGGTTCAAGGTCTTTAAATTTAATATTATATAAGATATAATTTTTGTATGAATTTTATTTATTTTTAGTTCAAAATTTAAATTATTGTGTAATATTATATCATTATTATGTCATTTAGATCTTACGTAAATAATTTAATATTATTGCATTATATGGTTGAACCCTCGATTCAAACTTGATCAAACCATTAAATCTTTTTGTCTGGTCCGGTTTCATAGCCATGCTTGAATGTAATCTTTCAAGTAGACTTATATCTTGACCCAAGCCCTATAAATAGCGGTCTATAGGGAGAGCTTGAGACATCAAATTATTTGTACATGAGAGTTTTACTTTCCATGATATTATGAAATCTTAGATTTTGTCATTTTTATTAGCAGGATTTGGATAATACGCATAGAGATCCAACTATATCATAGCTTTGTTACGTGATATAGAAAATTACGCTGTCAGTACTTTGATGTAGTGAAAGTTCGATATATAGAAGTAGCTAAACTTGCATAATGAATCAGACTGATTTGCCTATGCTAGCGTATGATTTGTTTAAGCTAAACATTGTTTCTTTGGCAGTCATTGCTTTGTGATCCAAATCCCAACTCCCCTGCCAACTCAGAAGCAGCTCGGATGTTCAGTGAAAACAAGAGAGAGTACAACAGGAGAGTTAGAGAGATTGTGGAGCAAAGCTGGACCGCAGACTGATGGCTTCCACCTACAAGAACAATATCAAAATTGTTATGCATCCCCCGAACTTATATGTTCTACTTCGTCATTGAAATGACTGAACCATTTTAAATGTTTGTGTATTCAAAAAATCCTAATCTTGCAATACTCCCTACTTGTAATGTGTGTTTTGGCTTGCAAACATATCTTCTCGCTCGAGATGGTTTGGTTAACTTTTGTGCATATTCTGTGTTCGATCTGCGTTATTTTAGGGTTCCCATAGCTTCAAGCATTGCTGGATTTCTCATTCTTAATAATTTTGTGTTGTGTTTCAGGTAATTTTATGATTGTTTCTTGGTCCTTTTTACCAGCGTACTGATATGTTCGTGCTGAATTATTCTCTTAAGAATTGGTGATATAGCACTTTTTGATTCGTAGTTAAAGACTGAAAATTTTCTAATCGAAATGAAATATTTTACGAGCCTTCCAGAAGAGAGATTTACGGACTCTTGTCAGCACCCAAAAAATGTATAATAATTTTACTCACAAAATTAGTTTATGTTTCTCCTCTGGCAAATGGAGTGCGATGTTCTGCTATCCTACCAAATCATATAGGGTATTTTTCGTTTCGATGAGTTTTAAATTCTTTGAATTTATTTTGACCTAAATATAATATGTATTTTAAATAATTAATAATTTATTACATTTATTTAAAATAATTAAATCTAATAATTTTGAGACATATCATGATAGAAGTTTTTTCTTTTTAGATGTATTGCACTCATTTTTAAGTAAATTCAATAATTTGGAATCTATTGTGATTAAATTTTGTTAGGATATCTTTGTACGAAGTTGTTTCCAAATCATTAATTAAAAAAAAAAATTCATAGGATTTAATTGGAATTTTGCGAACTGATATTGAAGGTAAGAGAAGCAGATGGATGGCCTGTTCAGATACTTTTTCTTCCGTCAGTCTTATTAGAACTTGATTGCAAAATCCTTATGGCAATTTGAAGAAGACGGATGCCTGAGTTGAACTCGGCACACACAACGTAAGGCAGCACTCTTCACCAATAGGGCAATTTCGCTGCTTTCATGAATCTAAGAAGCAAATTATTGACGTTTCAAAATGAGAGTGATACATCTTGGAAGAAAAAGAAGAATTTTTTTATAAAAAATGGTTGATTGTAGATTATAACTTAAATTTGAAAGTAAGATGCAGTTTATTTACAATTCGTGGTAGGTTGGCTCTCCAAAATATTTTAGACGTTGCTAGGAAGCCCTTAAAAAAACAGTAAAATCAAATTAAAACTTGAATAAAATATAATAAATCCTAAACTTAGTCTTAAATAAGTTTCTCCTACTTTCCTCCTAAATTAGAACCTCCCTAATATATTTTTCTCTCCAATTTAATTTTCAATAAGGAAATCTGTCCAGAATGCATACCGTTGATCAAGATACACTGATGCTATTGATTCTGTTCATGAATGTGCTATTGATCCTGTAATTCCGAAAGATGGATCTTTCCCTGAAGGTGATATCGAAGAAGCTACTCTTGGTATGCATTCTAGATATGATGCTGAACAAATAAAGGATGTTGTTATTTCTGAGGCTGCTAAAGTAACACATGCTGATCAAGTTATTGAAACAAATATTAAAATGGTTAAGGTCAAGGATTTTGTTATTGCTCATAGTGATGTTGCTGTTGGTAACATAGCAGGAAGTGTGCCATTTGAAGATGTTGAGAACAAAAGTTCAAATGTTAAGAGATGTCATAATTTTGTTAATTCATGTAATGATAAAATTGTTCTTTGAGTGTAAAACAAAACTCAATACAGAACTGAAATCTTTAGGTCCCATTGAAGATTCTGAGGAAGGGAAAAGGTGAGGTGGGGTTGAATTTTGTGAATGGGCCCCATTCTCTATTGATTCCTTAAATGTCATCTTTAGTTTTTTTTTTGAATTTTAGAGGAGCTAAAAAGGAGGAGGCTTCACTATATTTTATAGAAGTTGTTCGTGACAATAATGTATTTTTTATTGGGTTAATTGAAACTAAGTTATCTAGCATTGATAGGAGGGAGGTCAATAGGATCATTGGTGAGGATTGAGATTTTTTTTCATCATCCTGCTAGAGGTATGTCGGGTGGTATCCTTGTTGATTATATTTTTGTTTAGTTTTTCAAACAAAAATGGCAAAATAGTAAGTGAAAATTGTCAGATTGGCTTGAGTTGAATGAAGAATAGAAAATTGACATTGTTGAAAGAGAGATGCTGGATGCTGATTTTAACAAAGAAGAATTTTGCACAGTAGTACATCAGTTGGGTAACAACAAATCTCTTGGGTTAGATTGTATTATAACTTCATACCTCAAATTCTTTTGGGTCATTGTTAAAGAAGAAACATGGCAAGCCATAGAATGATTTTTTTAAAACAGGTGTGATGCATGATAATGGAAAGATACAAAAGTTTTATTAATTCAAAAATGTAAAAATCTTATTTATCCTTCAAACTTTAGACCTGTAATTCTTTGTCAAACTATTTATAAACTGACAGCTAGAATGATTTTAAATAGATTGAAGTGGGAATTGAAGTGGTAGGCAAAAAAAGTACCAGATTAAAAAAAAATAGATTGAAGTGGCTTCTTCCTAAGATTTTTACTGAAGAACAAGTTGCTTTTGTTTCAAGAAGATTGATGTCTGACTACTGCCTTCCAGCTCAAGAAATTTTTCATAAATTAAGATTTTCAAATTCAAAGAAAGGATTTATGGCGGTCAAGTTGGATATAGAGCAGGCTTATGATAGTATATGTTGGCCAACATTAGATAAAGATCTTAAATGGTTTGACTTTCCTTCCAAATTCTCAAAACATATTATGGCATGTGTGCAAGAGGATTGATTTCTATTCTTATTAATGGAAGGAACTCTAGTTGGATTAAGGCTAAAAGTGGATTCAGAAAAGGATGTCCCTTAACTCCCTTATATCTTCATTATGTGTTCCCAACGTTTGTCAAATGCGATTCAATAGAGAGTATTCCAACTGGAGCTTATGAGTTTATATTTTTGATGATGACAAATATTATGGCTCACTTTTTGTTGTCTATCTGTATTTGCAATATACTTTGCTTTCTATGTTTACTAACATTTCAGGATTACAGTGCACCTTACAAGGCTCAAGTGTTGGCAAAACATGTTCTATTCATTAATATATTTTTTGGTTTATAAGGGTGTTTTCTTGCTTGTAACCTTGCTCACTTATTTCTGTTTTAATGTTCTCTATTTTTTGCTCACATCGTCCAGGACGATCCAAACATTGGCCTGGACGATCAGCTGAAAATAGAAACCCTAATTAGGGAATCCTTGTTAAGGCAGTCGTCTTTGAGCTCATAGTCGTAGACGATATTTGTATCGACCGGGACGATAGGCTCAAAATAGAAAGAATCAGCCGCCAAATAAATTTAGGTATTTTTTTATTTTTGGACATTATCCAGGACATCAGCCTGGATGATACAACACAATTATGCCTAAATTAATCTGATAATTAAGAAAAGAAATTAAGGATTGATTGATACTATCATATCATCCTAGACGATCGCAGGATTGGCTGGGACGATATCATGGATGATTGACATCGGCCAATTTCTTTTCAGGGTGATGTTCAGGACGAATTTCCTTGGATTTGAACTAATCGTCCAGGACGATATACTATTAGCCTGGACGATATGAACAAAAACCTTCTGAACGTCTCTAATCATCCTTGCTAATTGAGCTTATTTTGCACTAATCATACAGAATAATATTCATATCATTCTGGATAATAAAGTCGACAAGTTACAATTAATGAGCTCGTTTGGAGCTCTTCTATTTAAGCTTTGACAATGGACTTTGTAAGTGTCTTTGGCAGCCATTGAAGCTTCATTTTTCTGGAGGAAACTTGAAGAGAGAGCTTGAAAGGGAGAGAGGAAAGGGTAGAATTTTTTGAGAGAGGGAGAAGATCCTTGGAGGGGGTTTCAAGGGAGTGTGGAGGGGGTTCCACACGGTTGCTCCGATGATCTTGCACCTTAGTACCATCAAATTCAATGCTCATCTTGAGAGAAGTTTTGGGAAGAATAAGATCTCTTTGGTGTCAAAATGATCGGCTACTCCATCGCACCGGGGAAGGTGGAAGTGATTTTGTATGGGCTTCTCTACCTAGCTGTGGGGGGCTAAAGGAGAGATACTAAGTTTAGTGCAATACTCGGAGGGTGCCTCCGAGGAGTGGACGTAGGTCAAGGTTTGACCGAACCACTATAAATCTGGTATGTACTTTTCTTTATTATTTCCGCATTTAATTTTAGCACTTTGATTTTCTTTGTTGTAAATTTTGGTTTGGTTTGAGTTTGTATTTTGATTGAAAGATTTTTAAAATATCAATTCACCACCCCCTTTGGTTAGGCTCGGGCCAGTTCATAAGGGCTTAATATCCCTAACGAACTTTCTAGTGGTATCGGAGCAGGATTCATAACATCTAGTTTTTGAAAACTTTTAAATTTTGATCCATAACTAATTTTTGTAATCGTAATATTGTGGAAGGATATTCAATCACCCGGCCGCCTTTATTTGAAAGTATTACTTTTGATTTTTAAAAAATTAACATGTCTACTTTCTTGTAATAAATTAATTTTTGAATGTGGCAAATGATTTTAACTGGTTATTCTGTATCATATCGTATTATAGATGAAATTAAAACTGATATTCCTTTTAATCAATGGAGTAGAGAAGAACAAATCAATGCTCAATTGAATGCTAAATCATTAAACTATTTTTTCTGTGCTTTAAATTATGATGATTTTATGTTTGTATCTACATGCTCTACTGGCAAGAAAATTTGGGATAAATTATACACTATATATGAAGGCACTAGTGAAACCTTTAAATATTTTAATGCATGATTATAAACTTTTTTGTAAGAAATCTTATGAGACGATCTTAGACATGTATAAAAGATTTATTCAAATTGTGACATCATTGCATGCTTTAGGTAAAAAATTTTAAAACTTTAAAAAAGTTAATAAAATTCTACATTATCTACTTGATAATTTTGATGCCAAAGTTTCTATTTGTGAATAAAAAAATTTGAATGAATATTCTATTGATAATTTGATTGGCTTACTCATTGCCTACGAGCAATATTTGGGCCAAAGACTTTTGGATGCAGGAGAGATGATAGTGATAAACGCTAAAAACATGAAGAAAAGTGGCTTAGTTGGTAACGAAAGCGATGACTTATCAAGCAAATTAAAAAGCTCATCAAAGCATAAGCATCAACAAAAGTAAAATAAAGATAAAAATGGTAAGAATG